AAACAGTACAAGTCGTGTTAAATTTATTTACATAACTAAACAAAATGATTATAGAATTAAACCTTTAAGAATTGAATGCTCATATGAAACTTTTTCCACCTTAAATACACACGTGTTTTTCAGAAGGGAATTATTTAGTGGAACTTTTTTCACGATGGAATTTTGTTTTGAGTCGTTTCGCAACATAAACAGTCGCTATCAAGACATTACACGAAAAACCCCAGTCACCGTTCTAGCTCTCGTTGTAAGGTCAAAGCTAGTAAATGTGTAACCGACCTGTTACATAACGTCAACCTGTTGCTTGCGGCTTATTGCCGAAAATGCGACAAAGGATGAACTACGACAGTTGATTTGTACCAAAAATATTAAACGCTTTAACTCTATTGGAATACGTGGAGCTAAGCTGCTCTAGCTCTTTCAGTGATGTTGTAGATACCTCAAAGCTTAGAGGAAACAAGAGCTAAGAAAAAGGATTTGCAATGGTTCCTCCTAAGATCATACTTTGGACTTGAATGTCGCTTCAACGACCTTCTGAAGTCTTCGTGAAGTCGGCTCGCATGCAATGGAGAACCCGCGTAGAACACAGACCAATTATTTTTATCAGGGAGGGGAGTCTTTTGGTATTAAAGAAAAAAATATTTGTTATTTCATTTTAAGATAAAATTCTATTTCTATAACGATAAATATTTGATTGACAATTAATAAAAGTTATTTTATAAAGATTTCCAATTTCTCTTTGCGTTTTAGCTTTTATTTATCGGATAGAATAAAATGACAGGCAGCCTACTCCACTGGGTGGAGTTTTGCTGTGCAAATTCCTCCCGTCGGGGGGTTATGTTTACAACATAAGCTTGVCAGCTTTGCGCTGATTGGCTAGTCGCATTTTCTCAAATCACCCAGCTTGAATGAAGAAGAGAAGGGAAATAATGAACATAAAATAGAAGTATATATGTGAATGGAAAGGAGAGAAGGTGAATAGAGGGATGAATAGATGGGGAAAGGAAAGGAAGAAATGAAAGAAAATGAAAAACAAACAAACAAAGAACTTAATAACTAAATAACTTTAGAAGTAAAATGGGGGTTATAAATAAAGAAATGGATAGGTGAATGAATAAAAGCTAAATATGTAAATAACTAAATAAAAAGATAAACGAGAAGCATTAACTGAATAAATAAAAAACAAAGAAAACAAAGAAACAAATAAGTACATAGATAAATAAAAACTAGATAAATGGATGTAAGCGAAAATGTGTGAAGAAACTGAAAGAGGAAGGAGAGGGAAATGATAGTGATGAAATAGAAGGTGGAATGTAGATGGGCAGGGGAAAGGGAAATGATTGTTGATGACTGGATGTTGTAAGTGTGTGGGCGTGATAGTAAGAGGTGAGTGGAATAAATGAGTGGGAAAGAGATGGAGAACAATAAACATGTTGAGAAGGGAAAGATAATAATGAACACGAAATTGAAAGTGCGTGAATGGACAGGTGGGGAGAAGAATAAAAAGACGAAAGGATGGAGAAACTCGAGAAGAAGAAAATGGGTAAAAGAGTTAGCATCGGTAGTTATGAAGGGATTAAAAATAGAAACCTGAAAACGTGAGTTTTATTGTGAGTTTTTTGACCGAGAGGGGATTGGGAATTAAATTCGTCAYTTAAAATTCGGCGTCTAAATCAAATGCCGTGTTTAATCTCCTAAAATAGGAGTTGTATTCGTTAGATGTGAAGATCGGCGTATAGCGCTGGCCTAGCCTATGATTTCCCGGGAATGCATTTTTAGGTTCGGCTTAGTAAACAAAAGCAAAAATAATAATAATAAATTACCAAGATGACATCTTCTCAATGAACAGTAAGCTTCTTTCGAACCACTGCCAATGCATRGTTTACCCCCGTGTGCTGGTACAGGGTTGTCACAAACACGCTCGCGTTTATGAAGGCCTTCGTCGCATGTAGCAGAACAAGAGGACCATGAACCCCAGTTTCCCCAATGACCATCGATTGGCTCTAGAGAAAAACAAAGGTAAACAACATAATATTTTTGAATGYAGTGMCTCCCTTATGAGTGCCATAGGTAATACGGAGGACCATATTTGAACGTTATCAATTAAAAAAGCTACGCTTTTTTGTGCTTAGCAACATCCTGCGTGCATCCATAACTCGATGGATGCACACTACCTATGAAACATTTCTGTTATAAAATACTTTCCATAAACGTCGCCAGCAAAGTCCGTCATTTCKCTCCGTTGCATGTGTCAATGCCCAGCGGTCTTATATGATTCTACTAAGTATGCTCATTKGTGTCAATTTTACATGTTCTTGCTKTAAATATGAAAGATTAGAACTAAAATCAACGCAAAAATTACTTTGAAACTTTTGAAAGTCATAAAAGTGAAAATGATACTGTTATGAATAATTAATTTAACCTATGCTAGTACTTAGGCCAAGCACATGGTTTTTGTATGGTTGTGTAGTTAAAATAACATGGCGGACGAYGACCAACGGAATGTTATGTTATAATAGTCTCGTACTGCACGTACATCACAGGTCACAACAGATACGACATTTGATATTTGAAGATTCGCGCCCAAATTTAATCTTACCGGAATTAAAAATGCACAGTCTTTTTCAGCACATTTCGGGCTTCCTTTGTAAACATTCCCAGAGATTTGTGCGTTATAGCAAAGCCTTGTACAAGAGGTGTATTCTGATCAAACACGACGAGAAACCTCTCTCTAAACTGACAAAAAAGTAGAAAWTTTATGCGTGATCTTTGCTCACCGGAAGCAGGATTCATCGACATGAACAGCAAATTTTTTTGTAAAAAAAGCAAAAGTTTAACACCAAAAAGGAAAACTTTTTCGACACGAAAGACGTCTAATTTCTTCGTCAGCGAGTGATTTAAACACTGCTCTATGTAGATTGACCTTGGCAGACTGACAAGTTACGGATTCTCTTGAATTAAGTGAAGATGTATGCATACTTCTGCTATATTTATGGTKGACATTAGGGAAGCTGGCTAAAGCGAAGAAAGCGAAGTACAAATTCAAGACATAAGAAAGGAAAAGTAAGTTCACTTATTTTAAACTTTTTAAAATTGTATGAAGTTGTATATATTTGGGGGAACACCACTTGCGATCGTGGGCTCAATGACGGTCTTTGCTGGCCTGGTTGTTGATAATTTACTCCAAAACAGTAAAATTGTCATTGATGAAGCCATAGATTCTAAGTAAATCGATCGYGACTAAAAGGAGCTCAAAGCTGACAAGGAATTAGTCCCGTTGTTTTTGCCGTGAGAGGAAAGTTTTTTTCCACTATTTAGCACATAACATGAGAAAAAGGTCATGTTATAGATTGATGAGAAAATGATAGAAAACTACTGGAATTTAAATTAGACTGCTCCGTTCTTTGTCATCGGCTTTGGAATAATTATGATATTTGTAACCAGACAAAGGACACAAAGACGACAACACAACAAGACCTTTTAATACTCTCTCCATCTCCACCTATTCCACAATACTATCGCAAAGATCTATCCTGAACACCCAACACTCTTCCCTAGTAAAATTTACGTTGAGAAAATTACATGTATCCATTTGGAGGTTTGACTAATCGTCCTGATTTAGTTCTAAKAACAACAATCAAGTCAGTCTTCTTGTCACTCTTAGGGGTAATCTTTGGCTTTGGTGTCTTTACTACATTTGCAGGCTTTGTAGGCAGTGCTTTTACTTCCTTAGGTTTTTCAGATGTACAAGTCTCTTTAGGCTTGGTATCACTCCCATCTGGCTTGAGGTATGCTCTGTTTCGGTAAACAATTTCCCATTAATGTCAAATTTGTATGAACGGTTTTTGCTTTGAATGACAATTCCTTTTTTMCACTCTTGTTCTTTGGTTATTCCTACAGACGTTACTCTAAAMTTTTCTCCCGGGTTTAGCTTCTTAAGATCCTTAGCGGTTTTATCATAGTGTTCCTTAGTTTTCTTATTTTTCTTTCCTTTCTCTTTTAACACTGTTGTCTTTTCTTGTTTCTTCCGCCATTTCAGCYAGGCGATCMTTTACACTCTTGTCTTCGTTAACAAGTTTGATTGTTTCAATATAATGTTCTCCTATTTTGATCCGACGTTGATCCTTTGACTGGGATCAGCTAAGAGCATCAGCAATGAAGAGGTCTTTACCTTTCACATAACTAAATTCAATGTCATACCCCATGATTCTGCAGAGCATTCTTTGAAGTCGAACTGGATTGTTTCCTACAGATTTCCTTAGTATAGCTGCCAGTGGTTTATGATCATTGTAAATAGCTATTTTTCATCCATATGTGTAAGTATGAAATCGAGTTAGTCCGAACATGAGCAGTTCTTTTTCAATTTGACTGTATCGTCTAGTCGTTCAAAGTTAGTTAATGAGTTAATGCTCTAGATGCATAGTGGACAGGCTTGCCATGTTGTACAAAGCATGCTCCTAATCCACTTGATGAGGAGTCGACTTGTACTTCAACTGGTTCAGCCGGGTGGAAGTATTTTAGCAGATTTTAGAGTAGTTGAGTCTTCGATATTGATAGTTTGAGGTCATCAAAGGCTTTTTGTTTATTTTCTTCCAAGATGAACAATATTTCTTTCTTTAATAAGCTTTCAGAGGCTCAGACTTGGTTGATAAGTCTTCAAAAAAAAAAAAGAAAAAAAAGAAAAAGAAAAAATGACTGAGGTAGGTTACAATACCCAGAAATCTTCTTCAGGCAGAAATCGATGCAATGCTTTCTTGTTTCTTTGGGTCAGGTCTAATTCCTTTATCACTTAGTATAACACCATGTAGTTCAGTTCTATTTTTCAAGTCTAAGTGACAACGCTGTAGTAGGGCTATGAGTCGCTGATCATGGTTAGCAGTTGCTTCTTCATAGTTACATCCATCACCCCAGATGAGAATGTCAYCTTCTATTGCATGCACAAGTGCCATCARGTCCTTCTAAGTTTTCATGAATACGTCTTTGAAATTCCTCAGGTGCAACACTTCCAAATGGCATCCTGTTCCTTTTCTTCTTCCCAGTGGGGTATTGAACATTTTTAGATTATAGTCTCCACTGATATCTTTGTAAATATTCACAGGCAAAACACTGCATTTATTGAACCAGAGTAAATTTGAAAGTTTATTGGAATTCTTTTACTTGGCAGACATAGTTTTGCAAATGCTTTCCTTTGCCTGCATTGTCGTTTCAGCATACATATTTTGTCTACAACTTCATAGTAGTGTTCTTCACCATCCTCATCTTCAACTTTCAGTATCATTGGTTTCTTTGATGAGTTTTAATGTTGTGGAGTTATTTCTTTAATGTAGGCGTTTGCATTCCTTTGAATCTTGAAAATGATTTTTCAATTTACATTTTCTACATATYGCACCGCAGRCAGGGCAGAGTTTTTTATCTGAAAAGCTATGAGCACCTTTCTTCTTAGCACAGTAATTACACAAGAGGTTTTTCTTTGGCTTTCCGCCGTCTGTTTTTAAAGCTTTCACGCTTTSTTGTCGAGTTTTAGAGCAGTCGTGGACCTCCTGTTTGGTGTTCTCGTAAGCYTATCCAATAGTTGTTGCGTCGATCCTTGTGAGAGTATTTYTATAAAATGGCTGTATAGGTTAACACAACAACTAACTYTTTATTCATGTGTTCAAGCACGAGGCTTGGGAAATTACCGAAAGTGATTAGCATGCGTGACATTAGTTGCKTTACTATCTGATATCATTACATCCTCCTTCTTTTACACACAATTCKTTTTTGATAACTACACCGTTCAAAGTGTTCTCTATTTTATTCAAATGTTGAGCATGTCTGGTGGCTTTGATACGYGTCCCGACCTGGTCGTGTAGGGTAGATCGTTCTGTTGTAATGCAGTCGAGGGTTGCTGTAAAACTTCTTCTTCTTCAGTGGTTGGTYTATGTCTCAGCTGTGATCGAGTACGCCTGTARATACATTGCGTTCATTCGTTCTTATAATATATGACCGTGGTTCTTTTGCAGGTTGAATAACTGTTGCATTTTCCCACTTTTGAGTGTGGTGGTCGAAAAGGTTGACTGGTGACCTTGTTGAATCTCCTTTAGTGTCAGTCCGTCAGTCTTGTTGTAGCATAACRCTTGTAGRTTCTGTTTTTGGTACAGCTCCTTCTTTTGTCTTGCTTGAATCGTCACTCAAACTTACACGCTTTGGATTAAATTTCACTCTTTTGTCTTTTGTTGTGGTGCTCGATGAAGGGAAGGCGACAAAAMGCTTTCCAAGGCATTAAGCTGGCGGTATCCAGCACGTCCCCTGGAAGATGACTCGTGCAAAACCTTCTCTTTTGTGAATCTCACGGTCGATTAAGCGGCAAATGCGCAAGAGGGACCGTCCTTTCAAACAGGCAAAGCGCAGCTGTGACAAACTTTCTGCTGCTTGGATGCACTACCGTCATCAAAGAAACAAGCTGATAAATCTAGTTAAAGCAGCCAATAGTAACTATCTTGACTCAWTTATTGGGGGGAGCTTACAAGAAAATCCAAAGAGGTTTTGGAGCTACGTGAAACAGGTAAGGTGTGAAAACATAGTCATACCATCGCTGCGCTCCGGAGATTCCGTGTACATCTCTGATAGTGACAAGGCAGAGGTACTCAACACCTTCTTCAAGAGTTTTTACCCAAGATAATAAATGCATTTATATTAGTCGGCACTGGCACCTGTTTTAAGCGAGCTTAAGGTGCCCAGTCACCTTGGCAGACTTTAAGATCAAATGCTGACTCTCCCTCTCGTAATTAGTATCAGGGAGTAAAATTTCTAAATTTCTAAAATAATTTCTATGATTGCCCTTGGCAAGTGGAAATCACACGATGGTGCTGCCATACCCTCTAGAGACCCCAGAGGTCTCGAGTCCACACTGACCTACTTTGCATTCTTTCATGGCGGTTCATATTTTTTAGCAAAAGGATCAAATTAATTGGTCGGTTTTAAAGATTTGTGAGAATAAGCAGTAAACACAAACAGGGTTTTAACAACAGAAACAAGAACAAAGCAACAAGAACAAAGCAAAGAAACAAGAAATATCACTTTGTGCACCATAATTAAGTATGGTAAAAGTAGCAAAATGCCCGAGCCCCCCTGTTGTAGGGTATGGCCAGAGATCTATTCAGCTATTCTGGTTTCCGTGGGCAGAATTTTTAAAGCTCGCCACAGCCAGACCAGATGTCAAGTGCAAAGTCAACCAGCAACTGGTATGTTGATAATGATATACAATATTAATTGTCAATCAATCGCCTTTTGTGGTTAGCCTGTGGYTGGTAAAACAAAACATTATAYTGTTCATTGGCGTAAGATAACCTCAGATCCAAAGATTCTTGATTACATCTCACAATGTCTTATTGAATTTGTTGATGGGTCTTGTAAATATAGTAGTTTGGGCCAACAAAATTTAAATGCACAACAACATGTTTGTATGTCTGTAGAGGTTAGGAAATTATTAGATCTGGGGGTCACTGAAGTGTCTGAGCATTAATTAGGTGTATGTTTGTCTCCTATTTTCATGACACCTAAGCCAGATGGCTCATTTAGGTCAAAATGCAATGTAAAGAAATGTAACAAAGCTGTTTRTTCTCGCCACTTTAAAGATGGATACTCTGTTATAGGGTTAATTGCTGAGGATTGTTCCATTGAGTCTTTGGACTTAAAGTGCATATGAAATGTTCACCATTTTCACACCATCGATAAATTGGTGTTGTATGTGATTGTATGTTTTCCTAAGTTTGAGCGAAATAGGAAAAATATTGAGAGTGTCATGATCATTCGAAGTTGGCATTTTTGGATTAAAACAGTGGCATTCTGACCATCGTGKTGTAACTTGTAAGCTCAGTCACCACAAACCACCTCGTTCTACCATCACTTTGTCAAGACGATCAATAAAGAACATTGATCATGATTAATTATCTACAGAAATTGTTCATGCTTTTGACCMACCGCAACCGCAACTGTCGATCTCCGAGTTTGAGATCTCTTCGTCTTGAGAACATAACACACCATTAATCYGAACACCCCGACGAGCTTTGAGTGCTAGATTTTCGCCGTAGTCGTCCGTTTTCCTTCAAGAAACGTTCCACAATCTGATAACGGGCGACTTCTGTTTGCTCCTATTACAACARAATAAGTCTAGGGCGAGACGTCGGGGTCTCTGTGGACATTGTTGCTAGCCAATGAGATCAGATTTTGTCATAATCCCAAATAATCCATTTATAGTAAACATTTGGTTTTCAAGTTGTTAGTCGATCGAGATGACATTTTCAACGATAATTTTCAGAAAATATATACTTTTGCAGGTATTTGCGGCAAAATAAAAGTAGGGGTCGTTTGGGTACGCCGATACCTTCAATTAACTCTTTGTAAAAATGCATAAAAACTTTATAAAAATTTAATTTTTTTCTTTTAAACTGCATAAAAACTCATAATTTTTTTTCACCCAGTSCTTATTTTGTTTTTCGCCCTTAAATGGGACTTGATGACATGAAAACATGATCAACAACTTTTTATTACAAATTACTTAAAAATCCAATCAAATTGATTTAATTTAGTTTTGGTATGAAAATATCTTGGAGATTGAAAATATTGCTGAGACGCATTTCGTGATAAATCATGACGGTGCGTCAGAGCCATTACCCAGCCGAGTCGACTTTATTTCCTCACATACAATGACGCTGTGTCAAAGTCAAAGTCAAAACAAAAGCTTGCATCATTTAAAGAAAAACCTCATTTCTTTTCGTAAAACTTCTAGAACTAATTAATATTCCATAACGTATTAGTTCAATAATGCCTGGAAATCGAGTCACATGATGAGCCTTTTTTAAAATTTAATTAATTTAATTCCGCTTTRTAGGCGCTTTACCGCAACCCAGCAYTGTCAAAGGTCTTCATTTTGTACGTGCTATTGGATATAAATACCATTTGTGATATTTCAAAATATTATCAACTTTAAATATTTCTTGTGGTACAACACTATGGATAATGGCATTTTTATAATACCTGGGCAGTTAGGACAATGAAATTCTTGACGTTCAATTCCAAATGCGTTRACGTTCCCACCACAAAACTTGATGTCGCCATCATGATAACAATAACGCTCACGCGACCTCTTACAATTCTTGTTGCAAGGTGTGTAGCTTGACCATGCTGTCCATCCGTACTGCTTACCTAGTGAGGTGAAAAAGCCTAATTTAGTGTTTGTGCGGTGAACTAAATTTCAACATGATTTTTATATCTTCACGTATATTCAGCTTGGATCAAGATATTTAGGAAATCATATATCATAATTACACAATATAACCTGATACACAACCCCTTCCATTTTTCATAAACAGTGTAAATACTCATGTTATTACTCACGTTTACAGTCATACAGAGCGTTGATTTCTATTATATCTTTTATACTCAGTCGCTGCTGACCATTTCCAAATTTTATTTCTGGATTGTGAAGGGCTTGAATAGTTGGTTCGCCATTTTTAGTGAATGCCGTACGCGAGTAATGCATAATTGACTCGTAATCGTAATCAAGTCCCAGATCGTCAATGTCTTTCCAACTGTATTTTTTGAACTGATCCCTTGCATCTGGGAAGATTATTTCATATAAGTYTCAGTGATATTATTTGACAGTTTGAAATGTCACATGTGCCAAGAAAAAGAGTGACCGTAGGGAAATAGAAGGAAAGTTCGTATTATTCGGCGAATGTATGTTAATCAAAGCTTAGCAAACCAACTCAACTGAGTTTGCTTGCATCTCCTGTTAATTACAATATGTGACGTCATTTTCCAAATGACCTTGCAAAAATATTGCTAAAGTCCATCAAGTTATAGCCTGTGTAGCGGCCCTCATGGGATCCCTGTTTACAAATTGTGACCGTTATTTTTAAATACGTCCTTTCCTTTCCGGTCAATGGTGATGGTCTATTTTTGACATTCATATGAGACCAATTGCAGGGTGCCCGTGACCCCCCCTTTGAAAGCGAAAAATGCGTGAAAACCATAGATTGATATGAAATCATGTTGACGTCATATGACGTCACAGTGACAATTTGGTATGTAAGGACCCCCCCCCAATGAAAATCCTGGATACGGCCATGTGACTGCAGACCTTCTCTAATTCTTAAAGAAGGCCGCTGCACAGGCTAATCAAGTTAATATTCTTACTAGATTAGTGTGCCACCTTAGCTTGCCAACGTCATTTAACATTTTTTAATTAGGGAATTCAATGCAACATATCACGCGACTGTGTGAAAATGGGATATTATTTCAACTATTGCTTGAGGGAATTTATTGGTTTTTGCTTTGTCTAGTAGTTTTTTTTTTGTTTTTTTTTTCATGTACGAAAGATGGTAAATAAAAAGAACGAGCGCGCTCTAAAAATATTATTGTCAGATCGGGTTCTTAGTGCAATACGGATTACCTGTAGTATTACTTGTAGTATTAAGATAACAAAAAAAAACTTGTTTTAACAAATCGAGGTTTTTTTCTTCAATAAAAATTACAAGACGGCACTAAAACGTAGCGCTCGATTTTTCTCCATTTTTTGATCTAAAGTTTTAAAATCCTTTGAACGACTTTGACTAGACATACATTGCTGAAGATCCTTCGAGTTTCAAAGAAATTAATGAAAGCGTTTTCGAGAAAGTCGGGTTCGCTTTTTTGAATCAATATTTTTTATGAAAACAAGTCATCACCTTAATTCAATAATTGCGAGACCGAGATTTATTGCAATTGATGCAATTCATTTTTCAAGAAAAATGCTGACAAGCTTTTTGTCAAGTCTCCCCAAAAAAATTAAGGAATTCTTTCTGTTATTTTGTGAGGGTTTATATCAAATATAACAAGGAGCCAAAATGGCTTCACGCTCGGGGACCTTTTTCAAGAAAATTATCAGTGACTGCATGTGAGTCAGAGACGGATCGAATAAAACTAATCTCTTTATTGCTTTTCTGGGGGACTGGGACTCTTGTTTTGTCTAACAATTCATTTCAAAGAGTTCGAATGTGTTATTGATGAGTTATTGATGTTTCATGAAGTTAAAAACAAACAAGGTCAAGCTATCGCACAAAAGAACGGACAGGATAATGACTTAACCTCTGTGTTTATGACATTGCCGTACAGAGGCGACAAAGGTGTTAGATTAGTTCAGAAATTAAAGCGTGCCTCTAATAAGTTTCTGCCACAAAATGTAAAAGCTAGTGTCTCTTTTAAGGCTGATAAACTAGCATCGCGTTTCAATGTAAAAGACAAAATTAACATCAAACACCAAAACAATGTAGTGTACAAGCTTGAGTGCCCACAAGAACGATGCCCACATACCTACATTGGTGAAACGSCCAGAAGATTAGATGAAAGAATCTCGGAGCATGGAGGAAAGGACAAAAAGTCCGCAATACTTAGACATAGTTTTGAATCTGGCCATGAAACTGTTAAGCTAGAAAACGCTACTATTTTAGCGTCAAAATTTAGAACATATAAACATAGGAGAATCGCCGAAGCGCTTTATATAAAAGAACAAAAACCATCTTTGAATGAACAGGGACAGTCAATTCCCTTAAGTCTTTTGAACTAATAATTATTCATGTAAGTTCAGTTTGCAGTCGATGGCCTTTGGATAAAGGCCGAA